GGATTCCTGCTGGGTTGGACTCTGAGATTCCCCCCCCCCCCCCAGCCCCAGTTTTTATGGGATTCCTGCTGGTTTGGACCCTGGGGTTTGCCCCAGCCCCAGTTTTTGTGGGATTCCTGCTGAGTTGGACCCTGGGGTTTGCCCCAGCCCCAGTTTTTATGGGATTCCTTCTGGGTTGAACCCTGGGGTTTGCCCCAGGTTCAGTTTTTATGGGATTCCTGCTGGGTTGGACCCTGGGGTTTGCCCCAGCCTCAGTTTTTGTGGGATTCCTGCTGGGTTGGACCCTGGGGTTTGCCCCAGGTTCAGTTTTTATGGGATTCCTGCTGGGTTGGACCCTGGGGTTTGCCCCAGGTTCAGTTTTTGTGGGATTCCTGCTGGGTTGGACCCTGGGGTTTGCCCCAGCCTCAGTTTTTGTGGGATTCCTGCTGGGTTGGACCCTGGGGTTTGCCCCCAGCCCCAGCCAGGGCAGGAATTGGGGTGGGAATAACCCGAGCAGGAGAAATCCACAGAGCCCAGCGTGTGCGAAAGAGAAGGAGAAGGAGAAGGGAGAGATTTGGAGTGATCAGGAGATTTTATCAGCTCGGAGCAGAGCCTGTAGCTTCTCTCATTTAGCTGATAAGTATTGCAGACCAATTTAATGCTGTGGCTCCACAATTCTGGTTGTTATTGCTTTCTCCCCTCTCCCCTCCCAGCATTGCTAGGCAACCCCCAGCCTTGGCAGCAGCGCTCTGTGTACAACACCTTCTCCAGCAACACAAGAAATTCCTTTTTTAGAGGCAAAAATGCCATTTAAAAAGAAGTTACACCTCTTAAAGTAGTGCTTGGCATTCTTTTGAAGTGACACATTCTGAAGAAGTTTCATATTAGAGGGTTTTTTTTTTTGTAAATGCTAATCTGAATGAATTTTAATTTTTGCAGTTACCTTTTCAGAAATAATTTAATAGGCATAACCTTTACTTCTAAAGGCACTGCTGAATCAATATGGGAGAAATGTCGTCCCTAAAAGCTTTCCTTCCATATGGTTACAGAAAATCTCTCTGTGAGTGCTGCAATTATGTTTTCTAAGCTTTGGGTTAATAACAGAACAAACCAAGATTGGTAATGCCAGGTGGGGTTTAAATGACATCGGTAACATTGAGGTTTGAGACACGGAGCAACAGTTTTGGGATCGTGGAATGGTTTGGGTTGGGAGAAAATTGATCTGGTTCCAGCCCCTGGGCCAGCTCCCCTGACCACAGAAACGCTGCAGGGCTGGGCTTAGCCAGGGGTGCAGACTCCCCAAAGGTCTGGACCCCAAACCCACTGCAGGGCAGGGTCCAGGTGTTCCCAGAACGGTCCCCAGGGCACAGAAATGCAGAGAGAGCCAGCACTGGGGGGAATTCTCTCACTGTGATCCTACCATCGCCAGAATTAGTGTGGAACTCTTGCCCAGCCTCCGGGGAGCAGCAGCTGTTGGGGTTTTGGCACTCACGTGCAGTGCCCTCGTTCCTGGAGCCCAGTCTGGGGCACGGCCGAGTCTGTCCCCAGGCTCAGCCCGGTCTGCTCCAGCTGGGAGGAACTGCTCTGGGATCTGGGCCAAAAGTGGGGCTTTCGTTAAAGGGGATTCTCGGTGCCCTGAAAGGGTCTGACCTCTGCACCCTTCCACTGATTGTGTGGGATCAAAATCCCCAGAGGTTGTGGAGTGTGAGAAACAGAAAGCAGAGCCCAGGCTGGAGGAGGTTTGGTGCTGAGTGG